TTAGGTTAAGCCGCTTTGAGTCTCCTTCAGGAGAGATGAAGCTGAATATAAAAAAATATCACAATAATTGTATATTTTACATTGCATGCCAATGCATTTATGTTAAACCACTTTGAATCTCCTGCAGGAGAGACTCAAAGCAGAGTATAAATAAATATAATAATAACTGTATATTTTAAATTGTATGTCAATGCTTTTAGGTTAAGCCATTTTATCTCTCCTACAGGAGAGACTCAAAGCAGCTTAACCTAAAAGCATCAGCATAAAATTTAAAACATATTATTATTATTATTATTATTATTAACCTCTGAGTCTCCTGCAAGATAGATAAATGTGGGGTATCAATAAATATAATAACTGTATATTTTAAATTGCCAATACTTTGTCCAATACTTTTAGGTTAAGCTGCTTTGAGTCTCCTGCAGGAGAGATAAAGAGGGGTATTAAAATATAATAACAATAGCATATTTTAAATTGTATGCTGATGCTTTTAGGTTATTTTTATTTTATTTATTTATTTTATTTATGTCCCGCTTTATACTCTAGGGTACAGAGACTCAAAGCAGCTCACAATCCAAATGTACTAGTATTATATTGCATTACATTATAATATTTTCAATATTATACATATATACAATATATCATATTATCACCATAGGACAATATTAGTAATTATCCTGCAGGAGAGATAAGGCGGGGTATAAATATAATAATAATAATCCAATTCTAATCACTGTCACCAAGAACCCACTAAATAAGAATAAAAACAATAATAATAAACCATTTCTAATCACTGCTCCCTCCCCTCGTTTGTTTACTTAATAATAAGGTAATAATAATAATTAATACTCCGCATGAGAGATAAAGCGGGGTGTAAATATAATAAATAATAATCCAATTCTGATCACTGTCGCCAAGAACCCAACATTACAACTTAAAATATGCAGTATATCATTATATATTATTAATGATATAGTATTATTAGTAGTAGATGTAGTACTATATTGTTACATTATAATATTATTATCAATATTATATGTATGTACAATATGATTATTAGCATAGGATAATATTAGTAATTATCCCGCAATAGAGTTGAAACAGGGTATAATAATAATAATAATAATCCAATTCTGATCACTGTTGCCAAGAACCCAACATTACAACTTAAAATATGCAGTATACCATTATATATTAATGCTATATTATTATTATTATTATTATTATTATTATTATTATTATTATTTTGTTTTACATTATATTAGCATAGAACAATATTAGAAATTATCTTGCAGGAGAGAGAAAGAGGGGTATAAATATAATAATGATGATAATAATAATAATAATCCAATTCTGATCACTGTCGTCAAGAAGCCAACATTACAACTTAAAATATGCAGTACATGATTATATACTATTAATGCTATATTATTACTAGTAGTAGTATATTGTGTTACATTATAATATATTAGCATAGGACAATATTAGAAATTATCTTGCAGGAGAGAGAGAGGGGTATAAATATAATAATAATGATGACAATAATAATAATAATAATAATAATAATAATAATAATATAATCCAATTCTGATCACTGTTGACAAGAACCCAACATTACAACTTAAAATATGCAGTATATCATTATATACTATTAATGCTATTTTATTATTATTATTATTATTATAAGTAGTATATTGTGTTAATATAATAATAATCCAATTCTGATCACTGTCGCCAAGAACCCAACATTACAACTTAAAATATGCAAAACGTCATTATATACTATTATTATTATTATTATTATTATTAGTAGTAGTAGTAGTAGTAGTAAATTGTATTACATTATAATATATTAGCATAGGACAATATTAGAAATAATCCTGCAGGAGAAAGAGAGGTATAAATATAACAATAATGATAATGATAATAATAATAATAATAATATAATATAATAATAATCCAATTCTGATCACTGTTTCCAAGAACACAACATTACAATTTAAAATATGCAGTATAACATTATATACTATTAATGCTATATTATTAGTAGTAGTAGTATATTGTTACATTATAATATACAGGACAATATTAGAAATTATCTTGCAGGAGGGAGAAAGAGGGGTATAAATATAATAATGATTATAATAATAGGACAATATTAGAAATTATCTTGCAGGAGAAAGAAGGTTATAAATATAATAATAATATAATAATCCAATTCTGCTCACTGTCGCCAAGAACCCAACATTACAACTTAAAATATGCAGTATATCATTATATACTATTAATGCTATATTATTATTATAAGTAGTATATTGTGTTAATATTATAATAATAATCCAATTCTGATCACTGTTGCCAAGAACCCAACATTACAAGTTAAAATATGCAGTATATCATTATATACTATTAATGCTATATTATTATTAGTATTATAGTATTTTGTGTTAAATTATAATATATTAGCATAGGACAATATTAGAAATTATCTTGAGGGAGAAAGAGAGGTATAAATATAATAATTATAATAATAATATAATCCAATTCTGATCACTGTCGCCAAGAACCCACTACATAAGATAAGAATATTAACAATAATAATAAACCATTTCCTAATCACTGCTCCCTCCCCTCGTTTGATTACTTAATAATGAGTTGCCAAGAACCCAACATTACAACTTAAAATAAGCAGTATATCATTATATATTATTAATGTTATATTATTATTATTAGTAGTAGTATATTGTGTTACATTATAATATACTAGCACAGAACAATATTAGAAATTATCCTGCAAGAGAGAGGAAGAGGGGTATAAATATAACAATGATTATAATAATAGGACAATATTAGAAATTATCTTGCAGGAGAAAGAGGTGTATAAATATAATAATAATAATTATAATAATAATAATAATAATAATAATATATTGTGTTAAATTATAATATATTAGCATAGGACAATATTAGAAATTATTCTGCAGGAGAGATAAAGAGGGGTATAAATATAATAATAATAATAATAATAATAATAATAATAATAATAATATAATCCAATTCTGATCACTGTCGCCAAGAACCCACTAAATAAGAATATAAACGATAATAATAAACCATTTCTAATCACTGCTCCCTCCCCTCGTTTGATTGCTTAATAATAATAATAATAATAATAATAATAATAATAATAATGTGAAAATATAATGATAATAATAATATAATAATCCAATTCTAATCACTGTCGCCAAGAACCCACTACATAAGATAAGATGTAGATGTAATAATAATAAACCATTTCCTAATCACTGGTCCCTCCCCTCGTTTTATTACTTAATAATAATAATAATAATAATAATAATAATAATAATAATAATAATAATGTGAAAATATAATATAATAATGTAAAAATATAATGATAATAATATAATAAACCAATTCTGATCACTGTCGCCAAGAACCCACTAAATAATAATATTAACAATAATAATAAACATTTTAAAATCACTGCTCCCTCCCCTCGTTTGATTACTTAACAATAATAATAATAATAATGTAAAAATATAATAATGATAATAATAATATAGTAATCCAATTCTGATCACAGTCGCCAAGAACCCACTAAATAATAATATTAACAATAATAATAAACCATTTCTAATCACTGCTCCCTCCCCTCGTTTGATTACTTAATAACAACAATAATAATAATGTAAAAATATAACGATAATAATATAATAATCCAATTTATAATCACTGCTCCCTCCCCTCGTTTGATTACTTAATAATAATGTAAAAATATAATAATAATAATATTATAATAATCCAATTCTGATGACTGTCGCCAAGAACCCACTAAATAAGAATATTAACAATAATAATAAACCATTTCTAATCACTGCTCCCTCCCCTCGTTTGATTACTTAATAACAATAATAATAATAATGTAAAAATATAACGATAATAATATAATAATCTAATTTCTAATCACTGCTCCCTCCCCTCGTTTGATTACTTAATAATAATGTAAAAATATAATAATAATAATAATAATAATATAATAATCCAATTCTGATGACTGTTGCCAAGAACCCACTAAATAAGAATATTAACAATAATAATAAATCATTTATAATCACTGCTCCCTCCCCTCGTTTGATTATTTAATAATAATAATGTAAAAATATAATAATAATAATCTGTCACCGAGAACCCACTAAATAAGATTAACAATAATAATAAACAATTTCTAATCACTGCTCCCTCCCCTCGTTTGATTACTTAATAATAATAATAATAATGTAAAAATAATAATAATAAATAATGGTAATAAAGATAAGAATATTAACAATAATAATAAACCATTTATAATCACTGCTCCCTCATTTCGTTTGATTACTTAATAATAATAATGTAAAAATAATAATAATAATAATCCAATTCTGATCACTGTCGCCAAGAACCCACTAAATAAGAATACTAACAACAATAATAAACCATTTATAATCACTGCAATAATAATGTAAAAATATAATAATGATAATAATATAATCCAATTCTGATCAGTCGCCAAGAACCCACTAAATAAGAATATTAACAACAATAATGAATTATTTATAATCACTGCTCCCTCCCCTTGATTACTTAATAATAATAATAATGTAATAATAATAATAACAATTAATAAACCCATTCTGGCTGGCCCTCCCCTCAAAAGGAGAGGCCAAGGCGGGCCTAGGCCTCCGGTTCCTTGGCCAGGCCGGGGCCTGGGGTAATTGAGCTCCCCGCCTCCGCCGCCTCATGGCCGGGAGTCAGGCGAGAAGGGCTCCCGGCGCCGGGACTAGGCCGCAGCGGCCTCGCGGTGGCCTGGCTCACGCGGCGGGGCTTCCCTGCCTCGAGGGCCGCCGCCTCCGTGTGGCCCGCTCAGGCCTGGCGCCGGGAGAGGCCTCCGTTCCGCGTGCGGACGGGAGGAGGGAGGGAGGGAGGGACGGGCGCGCGCTCACCTCAGCCGCCCGCGAGCTCAACCGCCGCCGCCGCCGCTCCTGCTGCTGCAACCCAGCCCGCAGTGCGCACGCGCACTCGCCGCCTCTCCTCACTCTCTCTCTCCCTCTCTCTCTCGCAAAGCCTCCTCCCCTCACTTCCTTTTCCGCCACCTCCTCCCGCATGCGCAGTGAGGAAACCCGCTTTCCGACACTGCGCAGGCGCGAAAAGGGGGGCAAAGTCCAACTTGGGCCCTGCGGGTGTTTTGGACTCCAACTCCCACAATTCCTAACAGCCGCTAGCGGCTGTTAGGAATTGTGGGAGTTGGAGTCCAAAACACCCGCAGGGCCCAAGTTGGTCTTCCCTTCCTCGCGGCTGAAGCGCATGCGTCGAATGGACTCATGCGCTGTTTCCCCCGCCTCACTCCCCTTCCACCACGCATGCGCCAATCATCCCGCGTGCCTCGCTTGCCGGACGAGCCGCTTCACCAAAGCGCATGCGCATCCCCGCTGAAATTGAAGCCTTCCAAATCTCTTGGAATAGGGACATCCGGGTCCTTGCCACTTCACCAAAGCGCATGCGCATCCCCGCTGAAACTGAAGCCTTCCAAATCTCTTGGAATAGGGAACATCCGGGTCCTTGCCACTTCACCAAAGCGCATGCGCATCCCCGCTGAAACTGAAGCCTTCCAAATCTCTTGGTATAGGGACATCCAGGTCCTTGCCACTTCACCAAAGCGCATGCGCATCCCCACTGAAACTGAAGCCTTCCAAATCTGTTGGAATAGGAACATCCGGGTCCTTGCCACTTCACCAAAGCGCATGCGCATCCCCGCTGAAACTGAAGCCTTCCAAATCTCTTGGAATAGGAACATCCGGGTCCTTTTTTTTTTGTAACCACGCGGTCTTCGGCGGCCATCTTGCCCAGCGTTGGTTGCCAAGGCAACCCAGTGCCCTGCTAGTCATCCATACTCGAGTCTGGCTTTTTAGGCCTAACTCTCAAGCAACCAAATGCTACATATATCTGGCATGGAACAAGCCTCCATGGCTCCTGGTTGAACCGAAAACTGACTATTATTAATAACAATGATGATGATGATGATGTATTGTCTAGTATGGGATATGTAGTATGAGTTACGCCTACTTTTAATTGTAACTCTCAAGCAACCAGAAGCTACATTGAATCAGCACTGGATAATCCTTTGTGGGTTGAACTAAAAGTCGACATAATAATAATAATAATAATAATAATATAATTATATAATTATTATATATAATTATTAGTTATATATAATTAATATATTATTATTATATAATATATATTATTATAATATATAATATTAATATAATTAATATATATTAATTATATATAATTATAATAATAATTTATTATTATTTATGGTCTAGTATGGAATTTGGATGAGTTAGGCCTACTTTTAATTGTAACTCTCAAGCAACCAGAAGCTACATTGATTCAGCACTGAATAATCCTTTGTGGGTTGAACTAAAAATCGACATAATAATAATTATATTATTATTATTATTATATAATTATATTATATATAATTATATAATAATTACATATAATTATTAATTATATATAATTAATATTATTATATTATTATATATTATAATATATATTATGATATATAATATTAATATAATTAATATATATTAATTATATATAATTATAATTAATAATAATATTTTTATTATTTATGATCTAGTATGGAATTTGTATGAGTTAGGCCTACTTTTAATTGTAACTCTCAAGCAACCAGAAGCTACATTGATTCAGCACTGGATAATCCTTTGTGGGTTGAACTAAAAGTCGACATAATAATAATAATAATAATAATAATAATAATAATAATATAATTATATAATTATATATTATCTAGTATGAATTAGTGTTAGCTAAGCCTACTTTTAATTGTAACTCTCAAGCAACCAGAAGCTACATTGATTCAGCACTGGATAATCCTTTGTGGGTTGAACTAAAAGTCAACATAATAATAATAATAATAATAATAATAATAATAATAATAATAATAACAATAATAATAATAGACCATAATAATAATAATAATAATAATAATAATTATCTAGTATGGAATTTGTATGAGTTAGGCCTACTTTTAATTATAACTCTCAAGCAACCAGAAGCTACATTGATTCAGCACTGGATAATCCTTTGTGGGTTGAACTAAAAGTCGACATAATAATAATAATAATAATAATAATATAATTATATAATTATTATATATAATTATTAGTAATAATAATAATTATATTATTATTTATCTAGTATGGAATTTGGATGAGTTAGGCCTACTTTTAATTATAACTCTCAAGCAACCAGAAGCTACATTGATTCAGCACTGGATAATCCTTTGTGGGCTGAACTAAAAGTTGACATAATAATAATAATTATATTATTATAATTATTATATAATTATATTATATATAATTATATAATTATTATATATAATTATTAGTTATATATAATTAATATTATAATATTATATATATATTATAATATATATAATACATATTAATATAAAAATATATATTAATTATATATTATTATTATTATTATTATTTATGATCTAGTCTGGCATCTACCAACCCTCTATGAGTCCTTGAGAGCCTATAATAATAATATAATGAGAATTGAGAGTCTATAACAGGGATGAGAGCTGGACCATAGGGAAGGCTGAGTGAAGGAAGAGAGATGCTTTTGAACTGTGGTGTTGGGAGGAAAGTTGTAAGAGTGCCTTGGACAGCGAGAAGATCCAACCAGTCCATTCTTCAGGAAATAAAGCCCGATTGCTCATTGGAGGGAAGGATAGTAGAGGCCAAGATGAAGTACTTTGACCACATCATGAGAAGAAAGGAAAGCTTAGAGAAGGGAATGATGATGGGGGAAATGGAAGGAAAAAGGAAGAGGGGCTGATCAAGGGCAAGATGGATGGATGGTATCCTTGAAGTGACTGGATTGATCTTGAAGGAGCTGGGGGTGGTGACGGCTGACAGGGAGCTCTGGCGTGTGCAGGTCCATGAGGTCATGAAGAGTCGGAAGCGACTGAATGAATGAACAACAACAGAGGTCCTCAAACTAAGACCCGATGGCCAGATATGGCCCTCCAAGATCATTTACCTGTCCCTAGATCAAGGTCAACCAAAGTTAGAAATGACTTGAAAGCACACAACAACAATGTTGTTTAACATTTATATGCGACCACTTGCTCAGCTGGTTAGAGGTTTAGGGCTTGAGTGTTACCAGTACGCTGATGATGCTCAGCTTGTGCTGAGGATGGAAGGCCGACCGGACTCTGTACCCACTTATTTCCATCAGTGTCTCGAGGCTGTTACTGGGTGGCTGCGTGCCAGCAGGTTGAGGGTGAACCCAGCAAAGACGGAGATCCTATGGCTGGGTCAACCGGGCAGTGGGGACATCCAGCTGCCTATCCTGGATGGCGAGGCGCTATGCCCGTCATCATTGGTCAAGAGTCTGGGAGTCCTTTTGGACCCTCTGCTGACGATGGAGGCCCAGGTGTCCGCCGTGAGCAGAACCGCCTTTTTTCATCTGCGGCAGGCTAGACGGCTGGCCCCCTCCCTGTCCAGGGACGACCTAGCTACGGTGATCCAGGCCACGGTCATCTCAAGACTGGACTACTGTAACGCCCTCTACATTGGCCTTCCTCTGTCGGTGATCCGGAAGCTCAAGCTGGTACAAAATGCAGCTGCTCGGCTTCTTGCGGGAATTCCGATGAGATGCCACATAACACCAATCTTACTGCAGCTGCATTGGTTACCAATTGAGCACCGGATCACTTTCAAAGTGATGGTACTCACCTTTAAGGCCTTGCATGATCTGGGGCTGATGTACTTGAGGGACCACCTCACCCCCTACCAACCCCAGAGATCGCTCAATACGGAGGACCAAGATTTGTTGGAAATTTCCAATGTCAAGACCTTGCGTCTAACAGCAACCAGACGTAGAGCCTTCACAGCAGTGGCACCATCACTCTGGAATACTCTGCCACCCGAAGTCCGTGCCTTGCGGGAATTAGCAGCTTTCCGCAGGGCATGTAAGATGTATCTGTTTCAACAAGCCTTTGATCTTTGATATTGCTGTTTTGAAATTGTTTTAAATTGTTTTGAAATTGTGTTAGATTTTAGCCTGTTCTTGTAAGCCGCTCCGAGCCCCAGGGGAGTGGCAGCATAGAAGTCTGAATAATAAATAAATAAAACAACAACAATTCTATCTCATCAGCCAAAAGCAAGCCCACACTTCCCATTGAAATGCTAATAAGTTTATATTTGTTAAAATTGTTCTTTATTTTAATTATTTGTATTGTTTTAAAGTGTTTTTTTGCACTACAAATAAGATATGTGCAGTGTGCATATATCCATGCTTTTTTCATTTTATAATCTGGCCCTCCAACAGTTTGAGAGACTGTGACCTGGCCATCTGCTTAAAAAGTTTGAGGACCCCTGGTCTATAACATGCATGGGCCAACTTTGTCCCTCCCTCCAGGTGGAAATTGCCCTTATCCTTGTGCAATTGCCAGCACAAGGCTAAGGGCTGCATCTACACTGTAGAGTTCATTCGGTTTGGTACCACATTAACCATGGAATCCTAGGTGTTGTTGACAGAGAAGCCCGAAAACCTTCTGAAACTACAACTCTCACAAGATAGGTCCAACTGAGTGTCATTATAAGTCAGAAATGCCTTAGAAAGGCAACGTTGTTATGAGTGCTTTTAAATTTATTTCTCGTGTCAGGGCAGCCAGTCAATTATATTACATTTCTAACAGAACAAAGCAAACAAACAGAGAAAATACAAAATGTGTGAGTTTGGTAGTTGATTAAATGTCCTTTGACCAGTATCTGGCCATTTGGAGTGCTTCTGGTGTTTCTGCAAGAAGGTCCTCCATTGTGCATGTGGCAGGGCTCAGGGTACATTGCAGCAGGTGGTCAGTGGTTTGCTCTTCTCCACACTCGCATGTCGTGGATTCCACTTTGTAGCCCCATTTCTGAAGGTTGGCTCTGCATCTCGTGGTGCCAGAGCGCAGTCTGTTCAGCGCCTTCCAAGTCGCCCAGTCTTCTGTGTGCCCAGGGGGGAGTCTCTCATCTGGTATCAGCCATTGGTTGAGGTTTGGGTTTGAGCCTGCCACTTTTGGACTCTCGCTTGCTGAGGTGTTCCAGCAAGTGTCTCTGTAGATC